CCTCCCCCCGCCCCTCTCGGCCGTCCGCTTATTCGTTTCGGCTCTGCTCGGTCCGGATCGCGCTCTGGTCTGGGGGCTCGACTCGACTCGCGCGGCCCGGTGACCCATATAGCGGGTGCAGCAGCCTGCCTTGCACTTTGCACTCCTATGGATCAGGATCGCGTCCCGGCCGCGGCGAGCGCCACACGACGACGCGTAGGTAGAGTGGCTCCAGAGCAATAAAAGTATTGATCGGACCTGGAGCAGCGTAGCAGCGTCGTGGACTGTCAACAGGACCGGGCGTGAATTGCCCCGGCAGGACCCAACAGGCGCTGCAGCAGGACAGCGGGGCACGCGCCCGCGGAGCCAGCAGGAGGAGTGGCTCTGACTGCTGCTTGCGCCCGCGTGCTCGAGTGAGTGAGGGAGTACGTGCGTGAGTGAGTGTGTTATAGGATGGACGTGGGAAAAGAGCACATATTATGATTACGAGGTGTGGGCGCGCTCGCGGGCTCAGCAGCGTGTTACGTGATCCTGGACACGCCGCGCTGCTCGGGGTCCCCCGAGGGGTCCCCCCAGCAGGACAACGACAGAGGGCGATATCAGCAGGCTGAACAGGCGAATCTTGTTGTTGTTTGCTTGCTTTCCTAAAGAAAGACCGCCCCGCGCGGTCTACCGACTTTTTCTCTTCATTCCCTCGGACGAACCGTAGTTAATTTAGGGCTAACTGATTTCTGGCTGATTAATTAAGGTGGCGCCGATCTCACGCCCGCCCCGCCCCCGTCCTAGTGGAACCTTGCGCCATGCCAGCCACGGCCCTGCTGCGCCCCAGCCCACCACGCCCCGCCCCGTCCCGGCCGCCCCGGCCGCCACGCCCGCCTCTCCGGGACCCGCGCCTTGACCGCCAAGAGCGACCATAGCGCGTTGGTTGCATCAGGAAGGGCTGGAGGAGGCGGGGTGAGCGCTGCGCTGCTATGGGAACGCAGAGCACCGCGGCGAGTGCGTCGGCAAGTGCAGCCAGTGAGCAGGCAAGTGGCGGGAAAAATAGATGTGTGTGTATTAGGACGCAACTGTGGGAAAACAAAGTTGAGGAAGGTTGGGGAAAATGAAAAACTACGAAGATTAAGGCCTACTGGGGTCGGGCTCATCGGCGTGCGACTCGGTGTGGGTGGCGCATGTACCGGGTGTCTCTTTGAATGTGTCGCGTTGCGGGTTTGCCTACTTTCCTCGACAGTGAGGCGCCATGGCCCCTGTGGCCGTACTGGGTATGCAATCCCGCAGCACTGGAGCGCTTGCCAGTACCAAGAAACGCTCGGGCGCGGCACGCGGGGGGCCTGAGCGCTGGTGCGGGCGCCCCTGCCTGCACTACTCCATCAAGCGCATCCCTTCCTCCGCCCCCTCCTCGCCTCCTGAAGGTCGCGGCCGCGAAAAGCAGCTGGGTCCGCCGGGTCTCGAGTGGATGAGCGGAGCTCCGCGCGTGAGAGCGAGAGAGAGAGAGAGAGGGGGAGCAAGGGAGGGTCAGCGGAGTGAAAAAACGTGAGAGAGACCGGAATTTCTTCAGACGTTTCTTCACTCTAGATGTTATTGCGATGTAAAAATGCGGCTCGATCGTGGCACATGAAGAAACTGGGAGGAGGTTTACGTTCTAATAAATTCGTTTTATTATAAAATGTAATACAAAAAAAATCTTAAAATTTACAACTAATTTGCACTTGCTCACAGCTTTGAATTCAAATTGAATGTCATCGTTCATCTTTACAATTGAACGTTGTCCGATGCAAGACTATTTACAAAACTGGTTCAAATGGCATTTTAAAAGTTTGATTGCTGTCAGTTTACTTCTTGAGGTGCATTTATACTATTATTTACATTTTGAAGCACGACATTTAAAGTCGTTGCAATATATTGATTTAAAAAAATATATAAATTACGGCGTTTAAATAAGTCTATAATATTCTATGGCTTTCTGGGATAACGTTAGGGGAATTCGTTTTTGTCCCCCTTGCGTTCCCTCGAGGGTTTCTTTCTTCTTTTTTTTTCGTCGAATGAGTTATGTTACTAAAGCCACCCACATGAGCGGCAAAATTTCCAAAACCTAAAGAAAGTAAGGCGACGGCATTTTGTTGCCGTTACCCAATCACAATACAGCTCTAGCCAGCTGCACGAGGAGGGTGTGTCCTGCTGAACGGACTCCGCTCCTGAGCACAACATGTGTGGAACACACCCAGCGGGTGAAGGTGGCGCCAATTGGAGGCCGTCACGACTTTCGGCCACAATGAACTGTCCAAAGCTGACTACACTTTTTTGGAGGACACTCCATGACACGACTCACTCAAGGGGGAACATACAGAATGCCCAGCCTCGTTAGAGAGAGAGATGGCGATCAGAAGATTAGCGAGTTGTTGATGACGTCCGTGGCGGAAGTCACCCTCATGATGCGCAGGTTGACTTCGCGCGGGTTGACGGTCCGGCGGAAGAACTTTTGGAAGCGCGTCGAGATGAGCCAGAGCTGGTTGCCGTCCCGCTCCGCCACGCGCATGTCCAGCACGAACTGCAGCAGCGCCGGGTTGTACGCGAGCACCCTGCGGGGGAGACAGGGTGACCAGGGGTCAGCATGGAGTGGAGGCAGCAGCACTCACCGGTCGGTGTTTGACCACCCGAGCAAGGGATCACCCAGAAAATGCGTCCGCCGTTCGCCGTTACGAACCCGCTGTATAGCTCTACAGAGCGCCTGATGGGTAGGCAACATATTGCCCACAGGACATGCGTGTACCGCGGGGTGGCCTACCCCGACTTTCGCAGGCGCCGAGCTCCCCGTAATTTGCCAAAATAACGAATCTCAGAAAAACTGACGCATTTTCTGGACGATCCCTAAAGCGCCTTTGCGCCAAGGCCTCTGAGGCCCGAGGGAGTTGGCAACACACCCGCATGTGCATGCATGCGGCACAGACCACTCACTCACACCCTTCCTTTACTTGACAGACCTCCGTATATCTGACTTGCGCTGGATGCTGCAGCAGACCTCCCCTCCCCCAACACCCTAGTTGCGCTCGACTCACCTGTGCTGGTTGCTGAGCGGCTCCCACGCCGCAACCGCGGTCTCGGACACGGGGCTGAAGATGAGCGCGCCGTCGCGCGGGTCCACGGCCAGCGGCGCGGCCTGGGACGATTTGGTGCCGACCAGGGCGACGGGCAGGTCGCCGTCGTCCTTAGGCTGCGTCTGCAGCGCGGCCGTGGCCACGGCGAAGATGCGGTCCGAGGCGAAGGGCTGGTAGTACAGCACCTTGGCCATGCCCGCGGCGTTGAGCGCCGGCGACAGCGCCAGGCCGATCAGCCCGTCCATCAGCGTGAACGACTCTCCGGCAACCTGCGGGGACAGAGACGGTCAGGGTTTGGGTAGCTTTGGGCGACCGGCTAACGCAGTTCTAAGGCGGGGATGTACGACGCGCACCTTGTAAGTGCCGTGGTCGGGGCTCGGGAACATGGACGGGTGGGAGATCCTCCAGGCGGAGTCCTTCTGCACGTCGTAGACGACGAGCCCCGGCGCGGTGGTGTCCGAGAGGTAGACGAAGGCGTTGTCGCAGGAGCCGGGCGTCGTCGGCGGCCCGCGGCTCACGTCGTCGATGACGAAGTTGGTGAGCAGCGAGTTGAGCCTCAGCACGGCCTGGGGGAACACCACGACGCGCAGCTGCGGGCACAGAGGCGAGGGGTGAGGCGGGGGCGCGCGGCGGGTCACTCACCACAGCAGCTCCTGAGGGGCGGCGGCCGCGCTCACCAGCCTGTCGGTGGCCATGTCGAAGATGAGCAGCTTGGGCGGGCAGTCCACGCTGAAGGTGGCGAGGGTGTCGGACACGCCCGAGTCCAGGACCCACAGGCGGTTGCAGCGGTCGGCGCGCACGCGGAACACGGACACCAGGCCGGAGCAGTTGTTGGCCTTGCCGTTGCCGGAGGCCGCGGCGACGTGCCAGTCCCAGCTAGGGTACGCCTGCAACAGCATGCGGGCGTGGGAGTTGAGTTACGGCTCTGCCGATGGTGTTCAATCGCTGGACGCGCTTCTCCTGCTCCGCCCCGTCTCGACTTACCTGGAGCTTGGGGGACTCGGCGAGCCCGGCGTGCGACGGCCGCGGGATCCAGCCCACGGTGGCGGGCAGCCCCGGCTGGAACCTGGGCGTGGCCAGGTAGATCTTGTCCCAGCCCACCTCGAAGCCGGTGAACACCCACGACGAGGCGGCCGCGCCGTCGGCGCCGGGGTAGTTGAAGGGGGCGGCGTAGTCCAGCAGCCCCCACTGCGCCATCACCTCCAGCTCGGCGGCCGCCTGCGGCGCCAGCAGCACCGCCAGCAGCGCCACGGCGACGCACATGGCCCTCATCTTCTCGGTCGCGGACTGCGCTGTGGGGAGGAAGGAGGACTCAGGTCAGGTGGCTGACGACACCACGGACGCTGCCGCGGGGTTCGCCCCCGGGGGCTTCGCGTCGTTCACCAGCAGAGCGATCGCATTGTGGCCGACGCTCCGGTCGGTGTGATAGAATCGCGCGGTGCGTGGGGCCGACATCCTTCCTTATGGGACCGTTACATGGCGTTACACGGCGTTACACACGTTATTGTCTCGGGCGGGGGCGGCCCGGGGGAAGG